CACCTGATGAACACCAAAGCTCCACTGAAGTAAATCCTGCTCCATAGGGGTGTCTCCATCACAGCAGCTCTTTGGCTGTAGTTGCAGCAGGTCCTCACAGCCCATTGGGCTGGGGGCCAATTCCTCCCAGTGATGCCAAGAGCAACCAAGGCTCAACTACAACAGGACAGTGTACACAGCCCACACAGAGGAGCACCTAGAAGGCCCAGCTCAGGTGACTGAGCCACTGGACCCTACAGGACACCTACTACACAAAGCCACTCTACAAACTCCAGGAGACATAGCNTCCAGGAGACATAGCAGCTCTACCTAATACATAGAAACAAACACCTGGAAGCAGCCAAAATGTGGAGGCAAAGAAACATGTCACAAAGAAAAGAACAGAAGAAATTTCAAGAAAAGGAACTAAACAAAATAGAACCAAACAAGCTATTAGACACAGAGTTCAGAATTATGGTTATAAGTATGCTCAAGGATATTAGTAAGACTATTAAGAAAACAAGTAAGACCATCAATGACTTAATAAAATACCTATCAGAAATGAAGCCTACACACACTGAAATGAAGAATAATTTACAGGGAATCAACAGTAGNACATGAACTGAAATGAAGAATAATTTACAGGGAATCAACAGTAGAGTAGAGGACGCTGAGAATCAAATCAGCAATTTGGAACATGAGGAAACAAAAAACACCCAACTAGAAGAGCAAAAAGAAAAAAGAATCCAGAAATATGAAGATAGTATATGGAGCCTCTGGGATAACTTCAAGAGGCCCAACATTCATATTATTGGGGTACCAGAGGAGATGAAAGAGCAAGAAATTGAAAACCTATTTGAAAAAATGATGACAGAAAACTTCCCCTACCTGGGGAGAAAAATAGACTTACAAGTAAAGGAAGCACAGAGGGTCCCAAACAAGAGGAACCCAAAGAGGCCCACAGCAAGAAACATCATAATTAAAATGCCAAAGGTTAAAGACAAAGAGAGAATCTTAAAAGCAGCAAGAGAAAAGCAGTCAGTTACCTACAAGGGAGCACCCATACGACTGTCAGCTGATTTCTCCTCAGAAACCTTGCAGGCCAGAAGGGAGTGGCAAGAAATATTCAAAGTAATGAAAAACAAGAACCTACAACCAAGATTGCTCTACCCAGTAAAGCTATCATCTAGAATTGAAGGTCAGATAAAGAGCTTCTCAGACAATGAAAAGCTAAAGCAGTTCATCACCACCAAATCAGCACTACAGGAAATGTTGAAGGGTTTTCTTTAACAAGAAGCTAATGAACAAAAGAATCTAACGAACTAAATAGGCCCAGAGACATTGACGCAGGCAACAGACAATCATATTTCAGAGGGAAGAGGGAAGGGGGGTGGAGGGTGGGAAGAGATTAACCAAAGAAGTTATATGCATATATGCATAACCCACGGACACAGACAATAACGGGGTGAAGGCCTGGGGAGGGGGTGGGAGCGAGGTGGAGGGGGTCAATTGGGGGGGAAAAATAGGACAACTATAATACTTTCAACAATAAAAAATAATAATAATAAAACATTGAGTTGTACCAACAACAAAAACATGTATATTTTTAAAGGTCATATCATTTCACTTATTGTAGCAGAACAATTGCCATATTTTTGAAAGCAGATATTTGCATGTGTGTGTTATAGAATACCTAATAAGAATTCCCCACTTTGATATACCAGTCTTACTGGGATCGAAGCAAAAACTATAAATCTATTCATAGCATGTGCTTTTCCCTAGTGGTGAAATAAATAGCGATATTCAAACCGAAGAACTTACAAGATTACTGCAATCTTTTAAGTTTAGCAATTAAGCAGTGCTATCCTTTTCTTGTATCCCTGAATTTTATGGACTATTTAGCATTTGTTGGGAAGAGTTGAATTAGTCTGACGAGTAATCTGAGATCTGCCAAGGACACAGCCACTTGCAACCCATGAATGTCATTAAAAACAGGCTGCTTTTGCAAGCAATACTAAATCTAACCCCTGTGTAACTTCTAAAAATTTGAGATTCAAATGTGATAGATAACAGGTTAGCCATTTTAACATCAGCCTAGGCGCTCTCTGGTGCTACACTGCTCTCTTGTGGTGAATATGAAAAATTGCAGCCTGAAGGTGGGTTTTTTTCTCTTTCAGTTTCCTGTTAATGCTTTTTTTGCCATGTTTTACATACCCTTGTGAATTGCCTTAAATACTTTCTGGAATAAAGCAAAATCTAAACAAGTAAAACACTGTAAGATGGGCAATGTTGCCTAAAGTTAAAAATAAGTGTTTGAAAACCAGTCTGCCTGGGTTCAAATCCCAGCTCGGCCACTTACCAACTATGAAAACTTGGGAGAGTTACTTAGGCTCCCTACACCAGTTCCTCATCTATAAAACGAAGATAATAGTACTTAGTGTTATTATGAGATTAGTGAGTCATTACAGGGAAAGGACTAAGAACAGGAGCCGACACATGATAAGCACCACTTAAAATGAGAGCTAAAAGTTAAGTAAGTTACAGCTCATTCCCAAGTACAGCATGACAGAAATCCCCAGATACCCACAGACCACTGGCCAAGCCCACAGCTCCTTGGTAAGAAGATTTGGCACAGAGCACAGAAACTGAAATGTCAACCACGTTGGTGTATGATTTTTTAATTTAAAACAAATCCAACTGCATACTTAACCTCTCCAACCTGGAGTCTGTGCTTAATATCCAGCAAAACCTATTTCAAATTCTTTCTCCATTGTTACCATATAAATGGCTGCTTCTCTCCCAAGCTAATTTCTATTTAAAATTTATAATTAAGGCACAAATATGTTCTCACTGTAAAAGCAAGGCCTTTGATTCCCTTTCTCCCTACCAGCCCCAGGCCCTCTGAATTCTGCTTCCTACTCCCAGGAAGTCTCCCCTCCCCTCGCTGCCTTGACCACCACTGTTGTCACCATCTGCATATCTCAACCAGTCAGGACTCTGAACAGCCTTCATTTCCTTACAGAAAACTTCCCCTACCTGGGAAAAGAAATAGACTTACAAGTCTATTTTATAAACCAATTTTTTTCATTTTCCAAATATAAAACAGTATTAGAATGCTTTGTCAAATGCCCTTGCTCAAACACCTTAGTTTATCAGGATTAACTGCCAATGGAGAAAGAATGTAAGAGTTTAAGGCATCTGGGAAAGAAGAAGGAGAGAGGAACACTTCCAGGCAAGTGAGAGAATTGTTTTAATGTCAGGAAAGGCAGCTAGCATTTATACAACTTACAAGAACAGAAACTATTTCAGCATTCATAGTTATCATCATAATCAGCTAGTTATTAATATTAATAATTGGAAGAGAGCAAAGGGAAGGCCAGACTTTAAAAGCATGGTCTTTTCCTTGCATCTCCCAAGAATTCCACTTCCACCAATAACAATAGTGTATTTGGATAAACTTAAAATGCAATCAAATATGATTTTATAAATAGTGAGGTATTAGCTAATTTATGGACAGATTCATGGTGAAGGCCTACACTGAATCCCTAACCCTGAGGAACTCTAAGGCAGACACAACAGTCACCAGGAGCCCAAGTCTGGGCCATTCCAGAATTTCAAGGCCTGTGCTCACATATCCCAGGACACCAGAAGTCAAACTTCTCAACAGAGGTGAGCCCATGGTCAACTCGATCCTGGTGGTATCGTGGTACTGAAATGTAGTTTTGCACGGGCAGGAAATACATTCTGAAATGGACAGAAAAGCACCCCGTCCAAAAAAAAAAAAAAAAAATCAACTTGAGCTATCTCAGGAAATATACTTCACTTGGCAGGGGGTGGTATCTTCCAAAGGTCCCTGCTGGTTGTTGGGGAGGAGCTGTTCATTATACATTTTTTAATAAGGAAACTATAAAACTGAACATTTAAGCTACCTTGGGAGATAAAAAGCAGTTACATCATGGGGCGGGGGGACCTCTAATTACAAGGACAGTGAAAGGACAAAAGGCAGGGTGAGAAGTGTACAGGAGGGGCAGGAACAGCAGGGAGAATCCTCACAAAAGGACACAGAATAGCAGGCAGGCTCAAAGCCACACTGCCATACCTGCCCTAGAATTACGAATGCTTCCAGCTGCAAGTAACAGAAAACCCACAAGGCACATTTTTCTTGTTAGTCTTTCTCATATAACAGGAAGTTGAAGACAGCGACTGCTGGTGTTGGTTCAACAGCTCAGCAATATCAGGGTTCACATCTCTGTAATCCGAAGCCCATACCTCATGGTCAGACAGCTATTGCATGGCAGCTCCTAACTGGAAGGAACCAGGAGAAAGGGGCTGGAGAGGAGGGCTAGGCACCCACTCTACCACGTTAACAAGAAAACTGTGGGAAGACTGGGCTTTTCTGAGAGGGGAGCCTGGCAAAAGGGTAGGTGCTGAGTCCACTCAAATGGAACCTAAGCTCTCTGGCTGGTGCACAGGCTGGAGGTCTACGGAAACATGTAAATTTCCATATCACATTAGTAAATGGGCAGAGGCACAAAATATCTACTTCAAACTTATGTTTCATTTACATTACCCAAGAAACTCTACCTAAAGAACTCTTTCAAAAAACAAGTTCATACTTTATAAACCAAGTAGTAAGAAAAAAAATGAATTTGAATTGCTACAAAACACAACCAAGTTACAAAAGTACATTTTTTTACATTTTATATACAAAGGAACAGAGTACAACTAATAAGGAACAAAGGAAATAAAATGATAGGCATATGTATTTACATAGCAAGTATAGGCAAAACTTATGAAGATTCTTTAAATACTAGCCTTTATCAAATCAGTTTCTAAGAATAATTATCACCTTCAGGAAGAATATTTGGGAGGCTCAACCTATTGATTCAAGCTATGACTATCTTAATGAAACAATTATGTTCTTTAAAAATCTCCAAGGTCCTGGAGGCCAAGTAAACCAGGTCACTACCAATTTTTAAAAGATTCAAAGGCTGGAATGTCCAAAACCAGAAATGGGTATTCTTAAGGGTCAAGGCTTTTCAGACTTCTGCACTAATATATCCTGGTGCACAGGCTTCCTTTAATTTCATCAACAGAAGATTAACATGTAGCGAAAGGCATGCTGGTATATCTCTGCAGTCTCTCCTTGTAAGTGCGGACACAGCTTGTGCTGTTCACACCTTGGTCACAACACCTTTTGTGTTTATCAGTTCTTCCTTTAGGTCACTGTCCTTCCAACTGTGAAATGTGATGTCCAAACTGAAATGAAGCAAATGTTTAACAGAAATTATTCTTATGTAAAAAAAAAAATTTTTTTTTTTAAATGTCAACACAAACACCAAATGACCCCTTGAGGTTTAATTTATTGAACAATAAAGTTATTTGAGAGAGGGCTATGTGTTAGGCTCTGAGCCTGAAACTACTCAAAGATGTTCTCTCCCTGAGATGCTTGTAGTTGGAGAGAAAACGCAAGGAACAGTGAACACTATGAGACAGCTCCGTAATACACTGATCCACTGTCATTGGGAAATAGCATGTCCTATTCCATATATTCAGTTACCCAAGTGAATTTCTTAGTAATGAAGATTTCGAACATCCTACAATTTTAATTAACCAAGTTCTAGTCACTGCTTTGCCAATCAGATGTGGGGTTACAAGCAGATTACTTAAGCACTAGGAGGTTCACTCTCCTCATGTGTAAAGCAGCTAATATTGGCCTGGGGTATTCTTTGTTTGTTTTTTAGGATATTGCTGTAAAGATCGCATGAGTAAAAAAGTACTCTGCAAGTTCTAAATTTATATACAAATGTTAAGCTTTTATTTGTAGGCACATTTGCATTATTATAATAGTTCTAAACTATGTACTTTTTTGTTTTCTTAGAGTTAAGGATATAGTTTTCTGAGTCAACATGATAAACATCAGGTACTGTACACATACCAGTTGCTCAGAGACCACTCACTCTAGAGCACAGGTAGGACAATTTCCCCCCACTCTGTTATGCTCTGAGTTGCTATCTGCTTTTTAGTTTTCTACCTCCTCCCCTGCTGACAGCTACCACCCTACTTCAGACTACATTCCTCTTCCACAGTCTTCTCGTTTCCAAGGCTTATTCTTATGTACTATCTCAGCTAAATTATAAAATGGGAAAAATTAGGATTATGCCTAAATTTAAAAAAGAGACTTCAAGTAAGCAGCAATTGTAAAGGTTAATCAAGTGTTTGAAACATAGTGTGTCCTTTTAAGCAACCAAGAAGCATCGTCACTGAAGTTAATTATGATCCCATTTGTTTTTAAAAAGCACAGTTAACATCTGGCCAGTGTGGCTCAGCAGTTGACCTATGATCCAGGAGATCAAGGTTTGATTTCCAGTCAGGGCACATGCCTGGGTTGCAGGCTCAATATCCACCCAATAAGGGGCATGCAGGAGGCAACCGATCAATGACTCTCTCGTCACTGATGTTTCTCTCTCTCTCTCTCCCCCTCTCCTTTCCTCTCTCTGAAATAGACATATTTAAAAATAAATTAATTAAATAAATAAAAGCACAGTTAACATTCTATTTGACTAAATAATTCAAAGTCTACATTTGACTGAAAAACAATGGAGTATTCTCATGTAACTATGGTTAGTGTGAATCTATAGCACCAGTTTTCTCTTGTCCTCTCAAAGTTTTGGACACCCAGCTCATACTGCAAACAGCAACATCAAGCAAGCACCTGCCCAGGATGAACGATTATAAACTTATGCGCAGTATTTTTCAAATCAAGTGTTTTATTTCAAAAACTTCACAGAAGGCTAAAAGCTAAAATGAGCATGTAAAAATTAACAAAAACAGAAATATGAGCAGCATCAACAAATAACTGTACAGCCCAAATTCTGCATAATTACTTTGAGAGAGCTTGAAGGCAAAGATATGTCATAAATAATACTTTAAAAATTGAAAAATTAACTTTACATTATTAGAGCTCATCCTTGAAGTTTCCGGACTAGAAAATGGAGAAGACTCCCAAGACCTATTTTCTTTGTCAAAGGAATCATCTTCTTGGAACGCAAATTTCTGCTTAAGAGCCTGGGATATTAAAGACACTGGATCCCACTGTGAACTGTGTCTTTTCCTCTTGTGAATGGGTCTGCCTCCAGGTGACCTTTTAAAAAAATGCATAAATTAATTAAAACTTTGTGTAATTAAAGCTCCTTGTGGACAAACATAGCAGAAATACAAGCATAATGTATGACAATCTAATTGGTTAAGAGATTGAAATTTTTTGCCATGAATGAAATAGAAATCAGAAAACCAAGAAACCAAATGGGGCTCTACCACAACCTTGTTATGACCTAGGATTTATCAGTATCTCTGTGCTGAAGATCTTTATTTTAAATTACCTAATTTTTCAATGGTAAACTTTAAAAAATATTTAAGAACTTTTAAAAGGACTATAGAGTTCATGAAAAGAAAACCATTAGGCTAATTTTTCACTCAATCTTCACTTAATGCCTATACCAGGCTCCATGTTACACTATGATATAGAAAATAAATTTATTTTCTCACCAGAAACCTCGCTGAGGAATTTCCATATGAACATGGAAATCCTACTAATATGAGAGTAAAGAAACAAAAAAATGTAGGCCCCAAAAGACAAAGAGATTACAAGAGAGAGGATAGATAAGAATTGTAATAAAATGTAGAAAGCTGGAAAGCTAATGAAAATGAAGAGAGTGGGGGTCAACTGCCATCCCAAAAGGAGGGATTAAGAAAAAGTCTGCAAACTGAATGATAAACTCCTTACTTGTTGTCTTTCCCCACTCAGCTCTCAAACTACCTGGCTTGCACTCCCTACGTAATTCCCATCTCTCCTGACCAAGAAGGAAACTGAAGAACTTTTTAGGAAAATTCTAGCCCCAAAGAAAAGACGAACAACTACTGAAATATGGGGTCTGGCAACAAAATGGTCAGGTTCTCTACTCCTTCACCAGGTCATAAAGCCCACAGCTAACAATCCACCTCGCACAATGGACCTTCAATCAGCTTTTCACTGTCTCACGTTTAAATATGAATGGAGAGCCAAGAATTCCAGAGACTTAAGGCTGCAAAACTACAGCTAGAAACAAAATCAATGAGAGGAAACAAGGAACTCAGGAAAATAGAGATAATTCAAGAGCAAAACAATTTAAAACTATAGTTACTCTCTTCAGTGGAATGAAACAGAGGCAAGAAGATCAAAAATGGAGTACTGAGAGAAAGGGAAATGGCTCTTACAAATTAAAAATATGACAGCAGGCAAAAATCCAGTAGAAGAGTTGAAAGGTAAATTAAAGAATTTCTTAGAAAATACAATAAAAAAGCAAAGAGAAAGAAAATAGTAAAGGGAAAGATATGAAGAGAAATAATCCTGCCATCAAACTTCTAATGGAGTTCCAGGAAAAGAAAACAGAGGGAAAGAATGGGAAAAAATTGTCAGAGAAATATTTCATACCAGGAATCAGAACGGCATCAACTTCTCAACAGGAACACTGCAAGCTAGTCATCAATGGAACAATGTCTTCACAGTTCTGAGAAAATGATTTTCTGCCTATTATACCCCAGCCAAACTAGCAATTAAGTATGACGATAAGATAATAACATTTTCAGATATGCAATGTCTTAAAATAATCTACTTTATATGCACTTTTTCAGAAAGCTACAGGAAGATATGACACCCAAGAGGTGGGTGCTGCCACACAGGAGAAAGGGGAGAGAATGCCCGATGAAATCCTTACGAAGACAGCAATGCAGCAGGCTGCAAGAGCAAATGACACTGGAACAGGACAGAGGGCTCCTACAGGGGAAGTTTTTTAAAAAAATGGAACTCAGAGAGGCAATTATTAACTCCAACCAAAAAAAAATCATTCAGCAAACATGTAATCATAGTATATAAAATGGCTTACCTATAATGTTTACTATTATAATAAAAATGTACATTCTACACACTGACTTAAGGCTGATTTAACGATATGGGAAGATTTAATGAATATATGTGTGCCTGTGTGTGAGAGGGTAGAATGCTTACGAGAATATATACCTAATCTTTAACAGTGGGAAGCAAATATAATTAAAATATTAAGAAACAGCCCTGGCCGGTGTGGTTCAACGGTTAGAGCATCAGCCCGAGCACTGAAGAGTCGTGGGTTCAATTCCCGGTCAAGGGCACATACCAGGGTTGCAGGTTCAATCCCCGCCCTGGTCCGGGTAAGTGTGGGAGGCAACCAATTGATGTGTGTATCTCTCTCTCCCTCCCTCCACTCTACCTAAAAAAAAAAGTCAATGGAAAAATGTCCTGGGGTGAGATTAACAAAATAAAAACAAAAAATTAAGAAATAGCAAAAGAAGTATGTTGTTTCAAAAACATGGAGATAATACACTAGAAGAAAGAGTCAAAAAATTGAAAATGATTCTCTGGGAGGGGCATCTGGGGTGAAGAGGAATAAAAGAGAAAAAATGTATATGTTTACTTTGATAAATATAATTTTTAAAAATATCCTTGATATAATTTTGGTTCACTTCTCAAATTAGGATGACATACCGTTCAATAGCACGAAGTTTAACATTATTCATATCCTTCAGAACATCCAACATGTGGGGAACATCTCTGCTTTTCTGGCTTTTTGAATGACTATTACTGGTCTTACTAGCACCTGGATGCTGTTTTTTCATTTCAGTTGCTGAATTATCTGAGTCACAAATAACACTGTATCCTGGCTGCACAAGAGAACACGGAGGCCGCAGAGAAGAAAGCTGAGGGGGCAGCGGGGGCGGAGGAGGAGGAGCGGGAAGCACTGCACTTGAAAATGGATCTGGTCTGACACTCAGTCGAGCAGTCCCTGATGATGGCACTTGTCCCAGACCACCAGGCCCATCAGTTGAGTCAAAGGATCCTAAAAAACAAAGCAGTCTGTTGAAAGATCATACAAAGTTCTCAACATAACACTAATTAAAACCAAAACAGGAACAATTTCTGTAATGCTACTAAAATGATGTGGCCAGGAAGGAGAAGCAATCCCATCCGCTTAGTCATTTTTGTAAGAGTCAAGCCAAAGAGTAAAATTACTCTTAATCCAGTTAGGATTCTCTGTGTAGGCCCTTAAAAGTGAGAAGGGGGAGAAACATTTTAAAGAGGAAATAAAAAGTCCTTTTTCAGTAATTCGCACACAATCTAAATTTCATCCCTATTTTAAAAAGCTAAAGCATGATTAATAACTTGTAGTTAGAAACACTCAAAATGGTATAGTGTATGGTAACACTGTAGAAACACCCGAGCACATATTTTAGGCAAGAGCCTAAGGATGAGTAGAGTACAGTAGTCTCCTTTATCCCATTTCTCTTTCCATGGTTTCAGTTACCTGCAGTCAACCTCGGTCCAAAAATATCAAATGGAAATTCCAGAAATAAACAATTCTTAAGTTTTAAATTGCGTGCCATTCTGAGTAGCCTGATGAAATCTCGTGTTGTCCCACTCGGGACACGAATCATCATCCCTCTGTCCGGCGTCTCCACACTGTACACACTCCACACCCAGCAGTAACTTAGTAGCCATCTGGGTTATCAGATCAACTTTCCAAGTGTCACAGTGCTTATGTTCAAGAAACCCTTAATTTACTTAATATTGGCCCCAAAGCGAAACAATAATGATGCTGGCAGTTCAGATATGCCAAAGGGAAGCCAGGAAGTGCTTCCTTTAAGTGAAAGGTATGTATGTATGGGGAAAAAAAGCAGAGTATACATAGGTCAGCACTAACCATGGTTTCAGGTGCCCACTGAGGGTCTTGGAACATATTACCCTTGGAAAAGGGGGGACTATTGTACTTAACTCTTTCATAACAGATTTGCTCCTAAAAGGCTGTCATATCATTGCTAAAAACAACGTGTATTTATATCTTTATTATTATTATCCATTACATAATATCTATATATTACTTATATATTGTATATAGTATATACTTTATATATATTATGTTATGTATAAATTGTCTGTGTGTGCATATATACCTATATATTTTATGTGTGTATGTCTATAGGTTAAAGCAAGTTTTGTCTCTGAAGATTTAGAAAAGGGTCACCTGGAGAACATTATTCGCCTAACTTGGTGGAACACTAGCAGCAGTAACTCCAAACTACAAATACATACATGGAGCCTCAAACCTATACTTTTCTTTCAAATTAATGCATTCTTCCTCTTAAATTTCCAATGCTTTTCTGAAGAGTTAGAAAACAGGATTTTCAGTACAAAACTATCTTCTGCAGTAGAGCAGTAGAGTTAGCTCTTCTTGAAACCAAAGCTAACTCCCTCAAAACAAATGTCTTCTTAAAAATTTGTTTTAATTCTCACCCAAGGGTATGTTTTTACTGATTTTAGAGAGAGGAAGGGGAAGGGAAAGAGAGAAACATCAATGTGAGAAACATCAATCTGTTGCCTCCCATACAAGCCCTGACGGGGGATAGAACCCCCAACCAAGGTATGTGCCCTGATCATAAAAGGAACCCATAGCCTTTTGGTGCACAGGATGGTGTTCCAACCAATTGAGCTGCCCAGCCAGGGCCAAATGTGTCTTGATTTATTCTAAATAAACATTAGACAAAAAATTTTCATTATCTGACATCCTTTCATATTTAATGTCATTCGCAAGATACATGAATATCAAGCATTCTTATTCAGAACTGTACTGACTTAAATACTAGGTGAGGATCATCTGCCTGAAGCAAAAATCCAGTATGTTACTCACCAGAACTTGTGCTGTTTTTCAGCTCCTGCATTTGCACAATTGCAGCAATCTGAGAGCGAAGAAAAGTTAGCTCATCTTCAAGGGCAGCTATTTTTTTAATTGCAGCTTCATTTACAGGCTGAGGATTTTTCACTGGTTTGTTATATCTTGGAGCAGGTGACAGTGGATCCCAAACTAATTGCAAAGGATGGAAAACTTCACTCTTCTCCTCTTCCTCATTTTTCCATATACAATTTCTGTGGGTGAAAAGAACAAACGGGAAGGGGGAGTGAGGAGGGAGAGAGAGATGAGGAAGAGGAGGAGGAGGGGAAGGGAGGGAGGGAAAGTTTCCAAGAGGAATAAATTAATTCCGTCAAAGGGGAACACAGGCACCAACCAGAATCGGAGTAGCTCTCTTCATCCCAGGATTTATCGCGACTCACTGAGCACAGTGCAGCCTCTTACATGACTCCATTCTCAGTATAGAGAACAGAACAGAACCCTTAATAGGTGACCAGTAAGTGGTCAGTAGATGAAGGAACAGCCCTGCGTTTAGATTGTACAATAAAAATAATTATCCTGTAACTGTCCTGCCATTCACTTTAAACGCACAAGTTTATTGAGAAATAAAGTTGTTATACTGAAAGGCCTTATATTCAGTATAATGTTAAGGGTAAATTTACGGTATTATAATTTTTTGAAAATTAATAAATCAGTTTCACACGTAAAAAATTTAATCATAATATTTCAATAATTGACCCTGATTGTGCTTACAGACTGTATCTGAATATGCTAACACATAAGTTAGTACTCCCTAGGAGAAAAACATTCAAATTCTGAAATATGTTTAACATTATTGCCTGTAAGAACTATGTAAGTTTTGAAGAAATATATGAAATAAAATAAATCTAGTTATCTAGTATAGGAAACAGCTTTCTCATAAATATAAACACAGTAATTGTGATATTGTTTTACGTCCTAGCCTGGCGTTAGGTTTAAATGTTCATTAAGAAAAACTGGCTAAAAACAAGGAACAAGAAGCCATCCTTATTAGGAAAGTATTAGTAGGACACAGCGCAGCAGAGATAGACAAAACAAAAAGGCCCAGTGAGTCTGAACAAACTCCAACATGTCCAAGAATACATCCAAGAATTCAGATTACAGCCCACATCCCATTTTCCAAGATAAGTATGTAAAATTACCGAAATCTGAGATAACTGGCTTCTTCATCATTTGCCACACACAAGATATCAGCAAAAGATGGAACTACAGATCCACAGTTACCAGAGTCTACAGAGTTCAAGAGTGGGATCAACTAAAGGAAAAAAGGGAAAAAAAGTCAGAGCTCTGCAGGAAGTGGGGGAAGACACATGCCATGGAAATAAAATAAGTTAAAAATCCAAGAGGGAAAAGGAAAAAGGATATTCAATAGAAAACCATGCACCTATTAGTAAGAAAAAATACTGAAGAAAATATTATTCTAAAGTATAAATGTGTGGCAATAGTCTCTCCCCTGGTTAATGTCATCTACCATAAGTCACAAACTAGAATTTAAAAAAGCTTCTCAGGTATTGCTTTGCACCTGCCCACCTTTGAATGTAATTATTTAAAAAAATAAACACAAAAACATACGCGAAATGACTTGTTTCCAGGGAAAAAGGTTTTGGCAGGAAATATTTCTTCTTTTGTTCTACCATACATTCCTAGGGCTACCTATGATTATTTTACACATAGTGATTAAACAATGCCTGTTGACTGACTTACCTCAAAATCAGGCCTGTGACAAGGTTCTAAAGGAAGAATTTTCCCAATAATACGAACAATACTCCGAGCTGATCCATAGCCTTTATTTCCCCAAGTCTGCAAAACCTATTGAAATATAAGCATTGTTTTAAGAAGTATTCTATTAAGCTTGTTTATAAATCTATTTTTTAAAAAGCAGATGTGTAGTTGAGCACCAACCCATGAACCAGGAGGTCATGGGTTTGATTCCCCATCAGGGCACATGCTTGGGTTTCGGGCTGGATCCCTAGTAGGAGGCGTGCAGAAGGCAGCTGATCAATGACTCTCTCATCATTGATGTTTCTCTCTCCCTCTCCCTTCCTCTCTCTGAAATCAATAAAAACATTAAATAAATAAATAATAAAGAAAAATAAAGAAAATACAGAATTGAGTACCCAAAAGTCTCTTCTCAAAGAATTAAATTTTACACCTATACCGGATCTCAAATCAGACATTTCAAATAATTAAAGGTGCTATCTGGCCAGTGGCGTCCACATTGAACAGTGCGGCCTAGAGGATATAGATCCCAGACCTATTAACACTAGATCTCTGCCAGCCTGAGCAAGTGCATTTAAAGTGTCCTACTACCACTCATATGTGTACCCTTGCTAAGAACCACAGGCCTGGAGGCTTGGCGACAGTCAGAGCTATGTACTCTACGTAAGTAGTCACCCTGTTCTTGGTTAACTTGGATGGTACCTTCATATCTTGCTCTGCAATTTCCATTCTGACGAACTCCTATCCTTATCACTCTCTCATTCCTTCATTGCCATTGACCACCTTCATCATTTTTATGATTTCATCTCCTGGTGAAATTCCTGGTCTAGGACCCTCACTTTTTTTTTTTCCATCCGGACCCAAGGATCTGTTTATTGATTTTAGAGAGGGAGGCAGGGAGATGGAGAAACACCGACGTACAAAATATCGATGGTTGCCTCCCATACGGGCCCAGACCCGGGATCAAACCAGCAACTTTTTGGTGTGGGATGACATTCCAACCCTCATTTTGACTTTCCTACCAAGCAGGGACTTTCAAGTTGTTTCAATGATATGCTCTCAAAAATGGTTCCTTTTGATAGTATGTGTTCTCATATTACTAATGGATAAGCTATCCCAACTACTCTTACCTACAAGTGGTCTCACCTCAACTATTACTGAGAAAATTGAGGACTATGATTTGATATACCTCCATTTTCATTCCTCTCCATTCAAAATCTCCCCGCCATTTCTCACTTTTATTATACCCTTGACTGTCCAGCTTCTTTCTAAGACTTATTTTGTTTTGTTTTAAATTTATCTTTATTGTTGAAAGTATTACAGATGTCCCCCTTTTCCCCTCATTGATCCCCCCCACCCCACATCTACTCCACCCCCAGGCCTTCCCCATACCAATGTCTGTGTCCATAGGTTATGCATATAAGCACATAAGTTCTTTGATTAATCTCTCCCCCCCCACTCCCCCACCCCCACCTTCCC